AGGGGAGGGGCAGAGAGAGAGGGAGAGAGAGAGAATCCTAAGCAACCCATGAGATCATGACCGCAGCCAAAATCAAGAGTTGGATGCTCAACCCACTGAGCCAGCCAGGCGACCCAGGACTGACTGTCTCATTGAGCTATTTATATTAGCACTTTAAAGATGCCATTCCATTGTGTTGTGGCTTTTGTTCCTGTTGAAAAAGTCTACTCTGAGCTTTTGTCATTTCTTTATAGTTCTCTTCGGTGGTTCTTAAGATTTCTCTTTGATTTTCATGTTCTGCAGGTATGGACTTCTTTATCTCAGTCCTACTTGGAATATATTGTGATTCCTAAATCTAACAACTTAGATCTTTCCTGAAGTTTTGAAAATTCTTGGCCAGTTGTATCTGTGAGTGTTGCTTCTCTCCCATTCTCTCCAGTCTGCCTTTCTGGAATTCCAGTTAGATGAATGTCACACTATCTCATTCTGTCTTCCACAAGTGGTAACCACTATTTCATATTTTCCCTCTCTTTATTCTTTTCTCTAGGTATATTTAATCTATTTATTCTTTAGCCAGCCTGTTGTGTTTCAGTTTTAAAGCTCTGTTTGTTTCTTTTTCAAACCAGTTTGGTTGTTTCTGGAATTCTCTAGTTCCTTCCTCAGTGTTTTTAGATCTCTTCTTTGTGTAAAGCATGCTGGTTTTTTTTTGGTTTTTGGTTTTTTTTTGTAGCTAATAGTTCCATTATCTGAAGTCTTATGGAGCTAATGGTGCTCTTTATTGTTTCTGCTAACTTACTCATTGTTCCATTGTCTTCTGAAGTCTTTGGTAATTTTTATTGTGACCTCATAATGCATCACTGATTTTAATCTTTAGGAATCCTGAGGGGTCTGGGTTTAGGGTACAATCCTCAATAGAGGATTTGCATTTGCTTGGGTCATCTGTCCCCAGTGCCACCAAACCAGAAGTATTTTAATCGGTCAGCTTGGGATTTTTCTGGACCATATTATACAGATAATGATTTTGAATTTCAGTAAGAAATATTTTTTTTCCACTTTATGTGAGACTTGACAAATTTGGGTTATTTTGCCACTGTAGTTTTTCCTAGCTCACTCTGACTCAGAGTGTAGCCCTTCGTGGATTTGTGCGAGGGATCTCAATTTCACCTCCTCACCTTTGGCTTTTCCTTTTTTTTCTGACGTAGGAAATAAACTATATATCTAAAAGGATATTTATAACTTAGTAAGTATTTTTAGATGTCTGAGGGTTTTTCAGACTATCTAGTTAGTAACATTGCCAGACTCAGGTGTCTAGGGGTGTGTGTGTGTGTGTGTGTTTGTGAGTGAATATGTGTGTGTACATGTGTGAGTGTGTATAAGATTAAATTGTTCATTGTGTCTTGGCACTATTTACATTGAATCTGGGAAATTTGTGAACAGAATTTTATTTGGCTTAGTAAACATTATATATCATCATCCATATGACCACCTGCCATTTATGTTTAATTTTGTAATATTGTAATAATAAGCAAATGATTACATATGTGTCAACTAAAGTTATTTATCTTATTTGATTAATGAATATTGAATACTTTTACATTCATAGTTTGTAAAAGTTGAAAGTACAGGTCTCTGGCATCAGACCACTTGGCTTCAAATTCCAGACTTTGGCTTTGTGGTTAGAGGAAAATTAGTTAACTTCTCTGTGCCTAAATTTTCTCATCTATAAAGTGGTATGGTAAGAATACTTTTGTCATGATGATTTTGATGTATAAATGAGATAATTAAGTATTTAGCACAGAGGGCCTATGTATGTAGTCACTGTTAAATAAATGCTAGCAATTTTTGTAGTTATTTAATCTTTCCCGGCCCGGTCTTCGTATGTGTTGAAGGGAAAAAAATTCAAATATTTTCCTTATATAATTTCTATGCCATCCATACTGCTTTTTTTCAGGTTCTAGTGTTCTATCTTAACAGCTTCCTTCATATATCTGGTAATTCTTGGTTGTCTACTCCTTAGTAAGAGAATGGGGGCTAAAAACTTGATTGGAATCTCTGAGCCTGTAGCTAAGGCTTGTCCACTTTGAGCTTCACTGTAGGGTGACCTGGGTGGGCTTCTTGCTGGAGAACACCTGGGTGTTAGTATCCTCAGGTGTTTCCTGGTAGAGTGGTCAGAGTTCCCAGGGAGTACTCATCTGATCCTTTGCCTGGGGGGTAGTGTTCTGGGAGCCCAGTGTGGGGAGAGGGCTTGGTGGGGGGAGAGTCCTCAGTGTTCAGCATACCCTTACAATAGCTAACCTAACACAGACGCATAGTCTGTGTACGCAGACCATGCTCGTGTGCCCTGGCCCTCCACTAGGCCCACTTGCTAGTTGAAAGGTCCTCTTCTTTTACCCAGAGAGAATGAATGTTTAGGCTCCTTCCAGGGACAGGGGCAGTTGCTTTTTTGTGTAGAGTTGGAGAAGGAATCTGTAGCTTTAACCACTGCTGAAACCACTCTCACTCAATTCTTATTTTAGCTGCCTTCCCCCTTCCCCCAGTTCCAGAAGTACCTAGTGCTGTTAGTGCCCAAGCCCTGTGAAGACTGTGTGGGATAAATCAGGCTGCTTCTGCTTGCTGCACTGCTGGCTTGTGAGTCAGCTTTCTTTAGTCTGCTAAGTCCATATCACTGTCCATCTGCTTCCCTGCTTCCAAAATGTTGCTGTTGTCACCTCTCCTGTTTTCCCCTTCCTTGTGGGTTTAACATCTTAAAAATCTCTTGGTCGTAGTTTTATGGGGGATTTTGTTCTTTCTGCTACCTTGACTTGGAAGTTTTGATTTTTTTAAATGGCAATTCATGGTGTATTTGTGATCATAAGTGATATGTGCTTATTTGTGGATAATTTGGAAAATAGGAAAGATATAAGCTAGTTACACATCACTATAATTTCTATCACATAGAAAAAACTACTGTTGACATTTGATGTACATCATTTGGTTCTGTGTTGTTCATTTTTATGTGCACATTCACATTTTTTCATCATTGGGATCACTATTTTTAGCTTTGTATCCTGCTTTCTTCACCTAGTAAACTGTTTTCCCATGTCAGAACATAATTTTTGAAACATTTCTAATGGGTTTATAATATAGCTATCATATAAATTTGTCATGATTTATTTAAATGTTGTCCTACTGATAAAGATTTATATTTTTTGTTTGTTTTGTTTTTTTCAATATATGAAATTTATTGTCAAAGTGGTTTCCATACAACACCCAATGCTCATCCCAAAAGGTGCCCTCCTCAATACCCATCACCCACCCTCAAGATTTATATTTTTAACATTTGTTTTTGTTTTTTTTTTTTCAAATCCAAGTTAGACTATAAGTTTCATGAAGTCAGGGAATGTCTATCTTGTTCATGATTCTCTCTCCAGTGGTTAACCCAATGTCTACCATGGAGTGATTCAGAGAATGTTTTGTTAAATGAATGAACAGTTTTGCACAAAAGTCTGATTGTTTTTTTTTAAGTTAGAATCTAAGAAGGGCTCTTACTGGGTTAAAAGGTATAAATTTTGTGAAGGTTGTTAATAATTTATTTGCAACATGTTCTTTGATTTAGAATAAGAAACAAGGATGTAAAAATGAGGAAGTGCTTGCTGTACTGGGCCATGAACTGGGACACTGGAAGTTGGGACACACAGTCAAAAATATCATTATCAGCCAGGTAAGTTGGGAGTGACAGTTCTCTTTTTATGGCAAGGTAGTCAGAGGAGAAGTATGGCAGGCAGGAGACGTGGTCTAGTAGAGAGGTTAAGACGGACTCTGTAGCCAGGATACCTGGCTTCATATCACGGCTCCTTGACTTCATCCCTGTGCCCTCAGGCAAGTTCCTTAACCTCTCTCTGCCTCCATCCCTTATTGAATGATAATACTTCCTAGGATTGATGTAAGAATTCACTGAGTTAATACATGTAAAGACTGTGGAGTAGTACGTGGAATGTGGTTAGGACTGTGTCAGTGTTGATTGTTACCACCACCATCACTGCCTGCAGAGTCACTTAGCTGTGAAGATCAAGAAGCATGAGGCTTGATAAGCTGGATTTTTTTGTAAACTTTTTTCTCCTTTATAAGTCATTATACATCTATTGAAAAGAAGTTGGAAAAATGTAGTAAAGATAAAGAAGAAAATAACTATTCCTATAACATTCCTCCTCTGGGACCTAAATCACCTCTCTAAACCAACTGTTACCATAGTTGTCAGGCTCCAGGTGAAATAGCACTATACTTTGTTGACTGGTTTGGAGCAGGTGTGGCCTTCACTGAGTCTAAAGTAGGTCTTTGTACCTTTCTAAAGGGCCGCTGGTTCTGGAGGACAGTGTGTGTGAGGATTTGTAAGCCCCCATGGGCCCTTCCTGTTGCCTTGCATCTTTCAGCAGAAAATGAGTTCCTTGGCTTGAAGCTAGTTGTATGGATACATGGCAGTAGATAAGAAGATAAGTCCAAATCCAAGTTCAGAGTATTCAGTCTAAAGAGGAAAGTCTCAGCCGCCTTCATGAAGAAAGGGGTCCAATGGAATTAGGCTACCCTGAGGTGGTCGGCTGGTCCCTGAGGTGTCGTACCTGATGTGGGTGGGGTTGACTGCCCCTTCTAATAGATTGGGCACTCATCAAAAGCCAGTGGGGGGAATGTCTGGGTTGTTGACCAATGCACTGACTCCATTTCTGGCACCTTGACCACTTTGTTCAAGAGTCCCTTGACCAAGTCCTAGAGTGTCTAGGGAAAGAGGCTAACTGACATCCACAGAGCAGGTATCTTCTCCACCTTATCGACAGCCTCCTTTACCATGGACTCCTTTGGTGAACATTCACATTGGGCAATATATCATCGTACTGTGGGCTAATTTTGGAAGTTTTTCCACATACCTCTTTTCCAGATCTCCTTGTTAGCCATCCTTGAGTTTGTTCCGAGGCCCTGATCATCCAGCCAAACCAATATTTACCACTGCCAATGATTTTATCCTCAGCTCAGGCCTTCTCTTCTTCCAGACTGAGTGGGCAATGAGGTATACTACTAAAGTTTCCTTCACTGAGAGTATTTCCTTCACCACTGTTTGCCAGGAACAGCCCTGAGTGGTTCTGTAATGCCATAGCAGTTCATTTCAGCTGGTGCCAGCAAATTGTATTAAGTTATTTGTAAAATGGGGCTCGGACTTTTCCTCCTCAATCAAATGATTATAGGGAGCTCCCCATGAATAGGGTTGGTTGAGGGATGGCAGAGGGTCAGGAGTTGGCATACTAGGTGTATGAGCTACCTGCTCTTTTAATTTCTGCCTTCATGACATCCTTCATTCCCGCTCGCATATATGCCACTTAGGCGTGATGTTGGGGTGCTTCAGGACATTCCAGTTTCCTGGCTAGGTTAGCCAGCATAGCATCCAGTGTAGGAGAGGCAGCTCGGTTTGCAGGGTCCTGCCGTCCCAGTCAGGAATCAGTCTCTAGTAGGGCACAGTAGCAAACCCAGAGTTGTTTTTCAGAAAGACAGTAGTTACTTGACAAAAATGATATGCATAGCTCATAATTCTAGGACCTTCATAATTCTAGGAGCTTGTCATGTGGATCCACGGGGTTACAAGGGCTGAATGGCGAGCTGCTTGCACTTCATCCTGGGGCTGGCGAACCTTATGCTGAGCCCCACTCTAGGCTGGTAGTGTTTGAGTTCTCTGGCAAATGGTTTGGAGCAGCACCCTCAAATATGGTACCTATGGTCTCCCAAGATCCTGACCTGCCGAGGGAAAGAATGGTATTTGTTCTCTACCTTACTCCAGTACCCCTTTACTCATATTTTGGTACAGACTTTTGACTCTTTTTCTCTCATTTATTGTTAAAGATACACCATTTTTCTCTTGGACCTAACTGCTCAGTACAGCTCCAGTGGTCCTAAAAAGTATTCAAGGGAAGCTTGTTTCTTGGAGCTTCCACATCAAAGTCAGGTGGAAGGCCTTGTATCTGATTATGATTTAATGCAAACAAAGCCAGAATCCATTCTAGCCATTTAACTTTTTACAGAAAGAAAATATCTCATTGCTGTTGGCCACTTTATTATTATCATTATTTTTTTAAATGTTTTTATTTTTTTGAGAGAGAGAGAGAGAGAGAGAGTGAGACTGAGCGTGAGCAGGGGAGGGGCAGGGAGAGAGGGAGACACTGAATCCTAAGCAGGCTCCAGGCTCCGAGCTGTCAGCACAGAGCCTGATGTGGGGCTCAAACCGTGAACCACAAGATCATGACCTGAGCTGAAGTCAGAAGCCCAACCGACCGAGCCACCCAGGTGCCCCTGCTGTTGGCCACTTCAAACCCTCAGTTATTAGAGCCTCCATTTAAGCCTGTCCTTCTAAAAAACTGTACAGCTTATACATTTGGGGAAATTTTATTTTTCTTTCTAGAATAAAACTATAAAGTTACCTAAATAACTTGTTTCTCTGATTACACTAACACTATTGTTAAAATCGCACCGTGATGTCTGATTCTAGTTTTTTTTGGTATTTCTGATTCCACAGTGAAATAAATCACCTTAGTAATAACTTAGATTTTGTATCTTTCTTTCCAGATGAATTCCTTCCTGTGTTTCTTCTTGTTTGCTGTATTAATTGGTCGAAAGGAGCTTTTTTCTGCATTTGGTTTCTATAACAGCCAACCCACTCTAATTGGATTATTGATCATCTTCCAATTTATTTTTTCACCTTACAATGAGGTAATGTATAATCTTTATAATTATCTTACATATGCCCTTGTATTTCAAATCTAGAACCTTTAGGATAGTGAAAAAAGAAACAAAACTGTAGTTTTAACAAGTAGATGAAACAAAACCTTTTAGTCCCTTGATTTACTGGCCAGTAGAAGAAAGTAGCAGAAAAACCCAAGCCCAAATAAACAAATGCTTGCATGCTGTTAATGGGGGAATAGTCGAGGACTAGACTTTGGTGGTGAAAACTTAGATCCTAACGTACCTCAGAAGCATGGTAGGTGGAGATTAACTAGGAGAATGCTAAGTCCTAGAGGACATATTCACCAGTGTTTGGCTGAAAATCTTCTGTGTGTGAGGGGACGAAACAATGATAGTTGAGTGCCTGTATGGCTGGATAAGGGAGGCAGTGTGACAGTGTTCTTCTGATCGTGTCCTCCGCCCATCCCCTTCAGAATGGCCTTAGGGTCCCACCACAGGCCCTCTAAGTCAGAACTGGGCGGGGTGTTATGGTAAGTGAGGCTTAAGAATCACCGCTCGGATTGCCCAGTAGGGAGACTGCATACAGGTGATACGGCATGGATTAATGAGACTGTATATTAACAAATCTGATGATGGCAGCATGTCATGATATTTGATAAATTAAGCCAGGAAATAATATTGGGGATCTTGAGTGATCTCCATTGACAAAAATTCTCTTTGAGACAGGTTGTAGAGTTAAGATTTTTAGATAAACTAAATGAATCCTATTTCTCCATTAAAAAGGGGGAGGAGGTTTGGAAGAGAAATAGGAATAGATCATATTTGCATAGCATTGTCCACATAAACTAACAAAGTTTTCCAGAACACTGAGATTTATTACCTTTAAATTCTTTTTTATTTTAACTGAGAATATTTATAAAATGCCTTATGTAGTTTGTTACTGCTTAAAGAGGTTAAAGAAGACTTTTTTTTTTTAAGATTTTAAGTAATCTCCACACCCAATGTGGGGCTTGAACTAACAACTCCGAGATCAAGAGTCCCATGCTCCACTGACTGAGCCAGCCAGGCACCTCTAGAGAACTTCACAGTTCAGGAGTGCCTTAAGGACACTGAGCTATGTATACTGAGTGACTCCCGCTGCTCTGCTTTTGAAGCAGTTGTGCTATTTGTTTAACAAATTTTTTTGTTTCTTCCCTCACTGTCAGGCTGATGATCCTGTCAGTGTGACTTTCTTGTATGTCATTATCCCTTTCTAGTTGGTATCCTTAACCTACCCTAGACGAGAAAATCAGATCACCAAACTCATTGGGTCGCGGTTACTAGATTGATTCGAAGGGTCCTATTCTAAGTACAGGCATGCACAGTGTTAGTGGTTATTCTTTGCCGCAGCTAATTTGACTGCTCAGAGATTTTTGTTTTGCTTGTTTGCTCTCTTATATTGAGTGGTTGAGTTCACTTCAAAAACCACCCAAATAAATGTGGGGTATTAGAGTAATTTGAAACGTGATTAATCCACAGAGATATTAGCAACTGTTTAAAAAATCTTGAAGAGCCCACGAGATTTGTTTCAAAAGAATTAGGTATTTGAACAAAAAGACTTATGTTTAATTGTCAGCGTTTAAGAGGGCATGATAGGATGGGGCGCCTGCCTGGGTGGCTTAGTCGTTAAGCGTCCGACTTTGGCTCAGGTCATGATCTCACAGTTCGTGGGTTCAAGCCCCACATCGGGCTCTGTGCTGACAGCTCACAGCCTGGAGCCTGCTTTAGATTCTGTGTCTCCCTCTCTCTCTCTCTGCCCCTCCCCCTCCCCCACTTGTGCTCTGTCTCTTTCTCTCAAAGATAAATAAACATTAAAAAAATTTTTTTAATAAAATTTAAAAAGAGGGCATGATAAGAAAGAGCTATTTTCCTGGGAAAGATGGGGAAATTGCCCTTAATATTAAGAAAAGTTTGGCAGTGTACGGCAGAGCCAGCAGGTGCAGGTTAGTAAAGAATGCTTTGCTTGGGACACTTACAATCAGGAGAAAAATTGATCCATCGATAGCTCGACGAGGACCACTTAATGATTCTGTCCCAAAAAGTCTATTCAAGATTTGGAGAGAAATTTCAGGCAGAATTCAGATATTAGCTTTGAATATGTCTAAGAAGGGATTAGGAACTCCCAGACTTCATTTTGAAACTCTCTATTTGCTAGTAGCAGTGAGAGGTACAAATGAGAGACTTTTTTAAACTTATTTTTTGTCTTAATGCTGAAGTATTTTAAGGTAAGAACTAGAACTCATGTCATTCAACCTGAAGTACTCCAGTATACAAATAAATTATTTTTCCCTCAGAAATGTGTATTTTCAAATGAAGTTTGTCCCCTTTGTAATGGTCCGTTCAGAGACTGGATATTTATTCTGGCAATGTTGTCATAGCTCAGAACATTTTAGAAAATTCTGTTTTGAGGTTGTAGACTATAGCCTCTTATATGGAATTAGTGAGCAAGAATTTTTTTTCAGTTTTTTAAAATGTTTATTTACTTTTGAGAGAGACGGAGAGAGAGAGAGGATCTGAAGCGGGCTCTGTGCTGACAGCGGGCAGCCCGATAGTGGGGCTCAAACTCGCAAACTGAGATCATGACCTGAGCTGAAGTTGGACACTTAGCCGACTGAGCCACCCAGGTGCCCCAAGAATATATATATATATATA